GAATAAATTTTTAAAAATTAAAAAAAAAAAGAAATCTAAAGTTAACCAGTGAGGCATATCTTCAGCCCCTAAAGTTAATCAATATCTTAACTCTTCTTCTATTTCAGACACTAAACTGTAAAACAATTAGTTCCAATTACCTCTTTTACAAATTAAATATATTGTCAGAATCAAATTTATCTTGATTTCTTTCTTTCCTTCTTTCTTTTTTCTTTCTTTTCTTTTTCTTTTTTTTGTTTTAGACAGAGTTCCTCTGTGTAGCCTTGGCTGTCCTGGAAGTAGCTCTGTAGACCAGACTGTCCTTGAATTCACAGAGATCTGCCTGCCTCTGCCTCCAAAGTTCTGGAATTAAAGGCGTGCTCCACCACCACCCTGTTCAGCTTGGTTTCTTAACCTAAAAAATGTGATATTCTGTCTTTTATACCTAGTCAGTTCTTACTACATCCACCTCTCCATCCAGTATAAAATGTTTTGTTTCATTTTTAGTATAGACATATCTGGTATAATTTTCTTTATATCTGAATGTGTTCTTTGTTATGGCCTCTGTGAGGATCTGCTGCTTGTAAACTCTCTCAGTATTGCTTTGAAAATGGCTTTATTTCAGCAATGTTCTCCCTCAAGGCATGTCTTCATAGAGTGTCAGGGGTTTCCTTCCCCAAAGTTAAGATAGTGCTCTGATTGATGCTATGCCAAGCCAGCTGTCAGTCCAATGGATATTTCTTTACCGGTTGTCTTTGCCTTCTTTCCTACAACTGGTTCCAAGTCCTTTGTCTTTATAAAAATGCTTTTATTCACCCACTTTAAAAATTTTTATAGATAATGTATTATAATGTTTTGAGCATGTAGCTCATCCCATTCCCCACTACTCTCTCTTATTTCATCTCTCTCTTCTCTCTCACCCATATAAGTACCCTTTGTCCCCATGCACATTACCACCTTTACTTTTATTTAATATATACATGCTTGGTTTTATGTGAGTATATTGAACTAGGAACAGCAAATGAAATAAAACACACTATATATGTCTGAGGTTGGCTAGACTAATTTTTATCTCCATTTATATACATTTTCTGAAATGACATAACTTCATTCTTCTTCATGGCTGAAAAAACATACCATTGTGTTTATGCCCCATTTTCCCTACCCAATCTGCCACTGTTGGACACTTAAGTTGGTTTCATAGCTTAGTTTTTGTGGATACTGTCACAATAAACTTAATGTGCAGATATGTTGACTTGGAGGCCTTCACTCAAGAATAGTATAAGTGGGTCATATAGCAGATCTACTTCTAGCTCTTTGAGAAATTTCCATAGCAGTTAGACTAGTTTACACCCCCACAGCAAAACTTAAGTGCTCTCTTTGGTTTGTTTTCTTAATAATAGGATGCTGTGGGATGTCTTTCTGTATGCTGTGAATATGTGTTGCACTGATTGGTTGATAAATAAAGCTGCACTTGGCCTATGGCAGGGCAGGATGGAGCCAGGCAGGAAAATCCAAGAAAGATAGTGAAATGAGAAAGGAGAGATGGGAAAGATGCCATCCACCGTCCAGGGAGCAGCATGTAATGGCACACAGGTAAGGCCACAGAACACATGGTGACATATAGAGAAATAGAAATGGACTGAGCTTAATTTTAGAGCTAGCTAGCAAGAAGCCTGCCACATGCCATGCAATTGGTAATTAATATAAACCTCTAAGTAACTATTTTATTAGCAGCTGTGGGACCACGGGCCTGGCGGAACTGGAAAAACCTTCCAACTGCAATTGGATATTCAGACTAAGAGAAGATGGAATTTTGTTTGCATTTCTTTGATGGCTAGTGAGATTGAATTTTTTATATAATCATTAGCTATTTGTATTTAATGTCTTAAGACTTGATTGCCCACATCAGTTTTTCATTTATTGATTTTTTTAGATGTTTTTGTATTCTAGATATTACTCCTCTATCAGATATATAATTAGCAAAGATTTTCCTCTGTTCTGTAGGTGATCTCAATTAGCTATTTCCTTTCCTTCCTGCACAGTAAAAGCTGTACAGTTTCATGAGGTCCTGTTTATCAGTTGCAGCCATTATTTCATGAGCAACTTGGGTCCCTTTCAGAAAGTCCTTCCCTGTGCCTGTACATTGAAGTGTACTCTGCTTTATCTACTAGAAGTTAGTATATGAGTACCAAGTCTTACTTTACAGTCTTTTGAAGTTTTCTATATGTACATATCCAGTTTTTATATCAGCATATGTTAAAGCACTCATATTTTCTCTAATGTGTATTTTTACCTCTCTGTAAAAAAAAGTTAGCTACAACTATGTGTGTTTATATTTGTATTTTTTGTTTGTTTGTTTTTTTGTTTTTTTGTTTTTCGAGACAGGGTTTCTCTGTGTAGCTTTGTGCCTTTCCTGGAGCTCACTTGGTAGCCCAGGCTGGCCTTGAACTCACAGAGATCCACCTGGCTCTGCCTCCCGAGTGCTGGGATTAAAGGCGTGCGCCACCAACGCCCAGCATTATATTTGTATATTTTATTCTGTCCCATGTATATACATGTGACAATACCATTCTGATTCTTATTGTGACTTTGTAGTAATAAATAAATAAATAAAAATAAAAATAAAACGAGAAGTGCCACAACACCTTCCATCTTGAGTCAATTATAAGTTATTATAGTGACACTACAAAGACAGTAATATTGCTTTGTGTATTCCAACTTGGATTAAAGCTCGCTGTGCATATACTATGATGTACAGTCGTGTGTGTGTGTGTGTGTGTGTGTGTGTGTGTGTGTGTGTACATGTGAATGTAAAGAATAATCTATGTGGGGGAAGTATATGCACTAGGATGGATGGTAAACCACACCTAGGGGGTTGTTTGTTTGTTTTGATGTTGCTTGTAATTTTTTAGTAGTTCTTTAAAAATTTAGTACAAGATACATTTTAAAATTTTATTTATGATCATGTGTGTATGGGTGTAACAAAAATTTAAAAGGTCTTGTTTAAAAAAAACAACAGAGCCTGATAACAGGGTGGGTGCTGAAAAATCAGAGACACGAAGGAAGGAACAAGTCACCTCTTACCTCTAGGACTCCTCAGCCTAAAAATCTTTCCTCAGCTAAAAGACTTTAGTTCCTGTCTCCTCACACATTATATACCTTTCTCTGCCTATTCATATCATTTCCTGTCTCAACTTTCCTAGTGCTGAGATTAAAGGCATGTGACTCCCAAGTATTGGGATTAAAAGTGTGTGCCACCACTGCCTGGTTTCCTTGTTTAATCTAGTGGCTTCTTCTGTTCTCTGATCTTCAGGCAAATTTTATTAGGGTACACAATATATCACCACATATAGGTACCCATGGAGGCCAGAAGAGGATGTTGACTCCCTTGGAAATAAAGTTCTAGGTGGCTGATGAATGCTGGGAACCAAATATGTGTCTTCTTCAAGATTTGTAAGTGCTCTTAACCACTGAACAATCCTCCAGGACCCATTGTAAGGGTATTTTACTCATATTCTTCTCCTCCCCCAATTCCTCCAAAATCCATACCTCCCTTTCATACTTATCTAACATTGCATCATGCTCTTTTCTTTCTTTCAATAAGTCATTAATTCAAATTTGTCCTACTCACATACTCTTGGATACATGGCCTTCCACTGGAGTCTGATTGACCTACCAGAGGTCACACTCTTAAAGAACACTGATTCTCCCTCTCTCAGCAGCTATCAGTTGTCCACAGGTTCCTGACTAGGAGTAGGACTTCATGTCCACCTCCCCTTTCCAGGCTACATGCCGTGTATTTTAAAGATTTACATAAAAAACATAATATGTCTCAATAATTTTACATGTATCATATGTTGAAAAAGACCTGACACATATTGAGGTGAGAAAAATACATTATTTATTTGAAATTCAGTTATTCTTAGTTTTTCATGTTGTGAGAATACATTTAAAATTATATATTACTGAAAGTTTTATTTTCTATTTCTTGAGTTACCATTTGGCTGTCTTATTAGTTAGAATAAGACATTAGAATTAGAATAATTATGCAATTCCCTATTTCCTTTTTGCCTTCCCACACTTTTTCATTTAACCAAACACATTAATATATGCATTTGGGTTTATTTTTTAGAAACTGTGATGCTGTTAGTTATTGTGGGTCTGTTTCTGTTGTTTATGCTGACTCTCTCCCACGATGGGAGACTGAATACAGCAGATAACCTCCATGTCTCCTCTCTATGTCGTTTATTTTCCTAGCGCTTACTCTGTTTTCTCACGTGTTGGAGCCCCAGGCTTTTTCTCCTGCTGTCCTTTAAAACCTTGACTTGAGCAAATATGCATGTCTCTCAGGCAAACTTTCTTTCCATCACTTTAAAATTCCCTATATTTAAGCTTTTCTCTTGTTCCTTTCTTATTTCTCATTATTCCATAAGGACAAAAATATGTGAGAGATTAGAAAAGAGAAGCAAAGAGGGACAATGGGTGTATGTGTGTGTGTGTGTGTGTGTGTGTGTGTGAGAGAGAGAGAGAGAGAGAGAGAGAGAGAGAGAGAGAGAGAGATGAAGGGGTGTGGGGGAATGACAATGATTTTAACACTTAAATTATCATAAGGGATAAAGATAAAAATTCTATGGCATTAAAAACCTTGTTATTAAGCAGTATTTAATGATACATGAAAGTGTCCAACATATTACTAAAAAGAAAGCAATTAGCCACACCTGTAAAGCAGGATCTTAATTTTGCAAAAATTATAAAATTTTGTTTTCACCTAAAAACACAAGAAAGAAATTAATTGCATCTTTTTTCCTTCTTTCCTTTCATTTTTTTCTTGTCTGTACTTTCTGTAAGATTCTCACTTTTAGTTTATAAAATGCACAAAAATTATGTTAAAAGTAAAGGGAGAAAAGCAGAAGCCAGGAAACATTTTTCATCCACCCACCTGCACTCTTTGTCACATCTCAGACTGTTAGTGTCATAGGGAAAACTGGGGAAAATGAAATTGCTCCATTAATGCTCACCAAGGAAAGTCCGCAGCCAAGTGGGCCCAGCACTGCTCCACCTCCCATACGTGCTGGCTGCCATCCAGTGGAGAATGTGAATGCATCCAGGACAAAGCCCTTGTCTCTCCTTCACTGGCTTTTGTGGTGCAGGGTTAAGCTGACTTCTCCTGAGCAGCGAAATGCAGGTATGGAAGAGATATAACAACACTCTTCATGTCCTCTAAGACTTGCAGTTCTTCAGTTCCTCAGAATGATTGACAACGCAATTTCACAAGGCATGAGATCTAGAGGAGGAAGGACATGCAATTGTGCATTTTACTGATTCACATTGTTTATACATATATTATTAGAAAGAATGCATCATTTTTAAACCTAGCACAGTACATCTACAGTTATGTTTTTACATGAGATAACTAAAATAAGCATTAGATAGAGAAGAGAGGAGAGAGAGATTGAGAAAGAGAGAGTGAGGGTAGGGAAGAGGAGAAAAAGAAACGAGAGGAGAGGAGAGGAGAGGAGAGGAGAGGA